CCTTCTGGAAATGCGGACACACATGGAAGGAATGCTGTACACAAAATAAATAAATCTTTAAAAAAAAAAAAAAAGGTGGTAGAGCCATGCAGGACCTGAGGATGTAGGATGGAACAGGAGGGTCAGATGTTCAGGGTCATCTCTGGCTACCTATGGGGTCTGAGGCCAGCCTGGGACAAAACACTAAAACACTAAAAATCCAGCATCTAGGATAAAATCCTTCCAGATGCCAGGGCAGAGGTGTACAGGACAGGAGGTGGAGCTGAGGAGCAGGCGGGGGAAACGGGAGCCAGGACTGCATTGGGCTGGATTCCACTGTATCTTTTGAGAATGGAGGGTGGAAGAGACTAGATCAGGTGGGGAGCAGGGAGCTGATGGCTGTTAGCGGGCACTTGAGCCTGCACTGTCCCCTGCACAAAGAGATGCAAACACATATAAATAAAGTATAATTTTTAAAAATTCATTCTGGGCTGGGTGGTGGTGGCGGCGGCGCACGCCTTTAATCCCAGCACTCAGGAGGCAGAGGGTAGTCTGTGAGTTCAAGGTTAGCCTAGTCTACAAATTGAGTTCCAGGACAGCCCTGTCTCAAAAAACAAAACAAAACAAAAAGACAAAAAAAAAAAAAAATGCTGAACCAGGCCATAGTTACACAGGCCTTTAATCCCAGGCAGAGGCAGGCAGATCTGTGAGTTCAAGGCCAGCCTGTTCTATAGAGCAAGTTCCAGGACAGCCAGGGCTACACAGAGAAACCCAGTATAGGAAAGAAAAAAATCATGCTGGGTGTGATGCACACCTTTAATGTCAGCACTCAGGAGGCAGCGGCAGGAGGATCTCTGTAGTTGAGCCTGTTCTACAGAGTGAGTTCCAGTTAATCAGGTTTACACAGTGATTAAAAAAATACATTAATCTAAAATAAGAGCCGGGCAGTGGCGGCCTGTATCTTTAATTCCAGCAGAGACAGGAGGATCTCTGTAAAGTCGAGGCCAACGTCTGAAAACCCAAAAAAACTAAAACCAAACCAAAACATGAATTAAAATACAACGCACTTCCAGTTACATTTGAATTTATGATATAGAGTAGGTCACTTCTGGTATAAGTTTTTGTCTCTGTTTAGTATATCTGCCTACTAAAGCCAGGACACTTACATATTCTTTGTTGTTTTTTTCGAAAGGATCTCACGATGTAGCTCTGGTTGTTCTGGAACTCACTGTGTAGACCAGGCTGGCCTCCCAAGTGCTGGCTGAGATTAAAGGCGTGCACCACGATGCCCGACTCGCGCTCAAATGGGAAGCAGACCTAAAACAAGCCTGTGGCTTGGGCCTGTAATCCCATCACTTGGAAGGCTGGGAGGGAGGAAGGTTGCCAGGAATTGTAGCACGACCTAACTACAGCCTGAGTTCCAAAGCCAGCCTGGGCTATACAGTAAGGAGCCCCGGTCTTTCAAAACACGCCCTCCCTGCCCAGCGAAACAGAACTCCTCCTTGTATTTGGAAATCAAATGGAGTTGCGGAGTTGCATGCTTTGTGATCTGGAAACCCCACTTAGAGGGGGAATATCAGGCACACCTGGAGCTAAACTCACTTAATTGGATTTGGCCCCAACCTGGGCTCCCTCCCTGCACCTGGCAGAAGGCAACAGATGCCAATCTGTTCCAATCTTGGAGGTTAGGCGAGGCCCAGGAGTAGGGGTGGGGGATTATCACTAGTTTTTAAGTCCCTGGCTGATGGGTTTGGCGGGTTCGGTGGGCCCTGGTCCTCCCTGTCCCTGCTCGGGTTGTTGCCTGTCAGGGCTTCTTTTACCTCCTCCCGCAGCCGGCGACAGGAAGTGCACACGCGTGGGAGCGGCGGGGGCGTCCGCGCTCAGTCCCCGGGTCCGGACTCCTCTCGCGGAGCCCTGGGACAGGGATCCCCCCCCTCGGGCCTCGGGACCCCCGAGCCGAGCCCCGCCCCTGCCATTGTTTACTCCGCCGCCGACTCCAGGAAACTTTGCTCGCGCCCGCAGTAATTTTATTTGGGAAAGTCGGTCGGTTGCTGTAGCAACCACACTGACGTCAGAGGGGCTGGGGCCCGAAATCCCCCGGAAGGGAGGGGGTGTTGAAGAGGGGAGACCCCGAGAAGGGCTCCCTTTAACCCTGCACGCTCCAGCGCCTAGTGGCCGCTGGCAACCAAATTAAACATCTCTCGCCTCCCCTTCCTTACCCTGGCCAGGGCTCCAAGTCAGTTACTGGTGCTGGGTTAGGCCTGGGGCCACTCCTGTGTCACCCACCCCAGCATCGTCCTGGTAACTGCCCGTCCCGTGGGCCACTCCTGTGACACCCACCCCAGCATCATCCTGGTAGCAGCCCGTCCCGTGGGCCACTCCTGTGTCACCCACCCCAACAGCGCCCTGGTAGCTGCCCGTCCCGTGGGCCAATCCTGTGACACCCACCCCAGCATCGTTCTGGCAACTACCCAGCCCATGGCCACCCACCCCTCCAGAGATTCTGGCAAAGCCGTTGATCTCCAGGGGACTCCCCTGAGCCGCAAAAGTCAGGCCACTGTGCCCGGCACTAGGCCCCACACCGGCGGCTGAATGACAGAGCTGGGCGCCCTCCCCGGATGCGGGGAGCGGCAGTGCCCCAGCGAGGGGGCAGGGATCTGGTGGGCCCGGGACAGTCCACAACACAGCCGGTCGCCACGGCGACAGGAGGCGGGCTGCCTGACGGCCTGAGGAGCCAGCCGCCAGCCAGTGGGGAGGAGCCTCCGTAACCGCAGTGACGTGCGGCTGCCCTGTTTGATGTCTCTGTGCTGCGTTGCCATGGGGCCCGGGGCGCCCTGCGTGTGCGCCCGGATGACCTGTGGGGCGACCTTCAGACCTGTCAGGGTCCCTTGATGTAGCCCTCCCCGGCTCCACCAACCTGGTGGGATCTAAGATGTTCCATTTCCGTGGGCCAGAGCACGGCAGAACCAGAGAATCAGCGCCCAGACAGTTTGTGTGTGTGTGTATACACGTGTGTGTGTGTACACGTGTGTGTGCGTGCACATAATCTGGTCGCAGCCTGTCCTGACCTCTCCATTCTTTTCCATGACAAAAGAGTCAGTAACCGAGTTTGGTGAGCTGAGATCCCATTGGCTCCTGTCTTTGGTTAGGGCCGCTACCCCGGGACAGACAGTGAGGGTCAGGGATACTAGGAACCCCTTCTCTGGGGCTGGGGGTTTCTGCGTGACCCAGACCTGGCCCAAGCCACTCAAGAGAGTGATAAACCAGTCCACTCACTGATGAATTTTGGGTGTCCCCAGGTCAGGTGTGATCGTTTATGCCTGTCATCTGAGCACTGGGGAAACTGAGGCAGGAGGCTCATGAGTCCCAAGTGAGTTGAGGCTGGGGTACACAGTGAGACTGTCTCAAAACAAAGCAAACTGGAAAGAAAAAAGATGTTTCCAGAGGACAGATGAGACTTTGGTGTGATGGGGTCTCCATATGGTCACGTAGATTCCCCAGAGACTGGTCAGTGCCTGAGGCTGTGCTACTTCTGTTTGAACTGTGTCTACATAGGACACCAGGGGAATCCCGTGCGAGCGTGTTCTCTCCCTCCCTTCCTCCCTCCCCCCCTTCCCTCCCCTCCCCCCTATTTATTTAGAGGCTGGGTCTCATATAGTTCAAGCTGGTCTCAAACTCACCATGTAGCCCAAGGGTGACTTTAAACTGCTCTTCTGCCTCCACCTCCCAGGCTCAGTCACATTCTGCAGTCCAGGCTGGCCTTCAACTCGTCATTCTCCTGCCTCAGCCTCTGGAGTGCTGGGCTGACTACCTGGAACCCAACTTTTGTCCTCATTTACACCTCTTCAGGAGGCCATGAGGCCATCTCTTCCACCTTCCATGGCCCGCCCTTAGCTGGAGAATTCTATGCCACCCCAAAATCCTCCCTAGGGCCCCAGCCGGGTGGGCCGCTCTTTCCCCTCATGCCCCAACCTGTCAGATCCTGCAGTCCGGGCCAGCCTGCCTCTTGTGCCCCACACGGAAGGAAGGAAGCTGCTGAACCCCCAGGGCTTGGGCCTCTGGGGTGACAACTTAGTGCGGCTTCAACCCCAATCCCATGTGCACCCCAAAGTGTGGGAAAGCTGAGCTGAACCCGGTGACAGTGGGTCACCCGAACCTCCAGGGTCCGACCTGGCATGTGCCCATCACCCATCTTCCCTGGCATTATTCAAAGGGCACAAGATGGGGCTCCGTGGCCGTCTTTGGGAATGTTGGGAGAGTTGGGGAAACTGTGCCCAGAGCAGTAACCTCCTGGTTCTGGGGAGGCCCTGAAGCGTGTTGTGACTCGGTGCTCAGTGTCCTGCCCTTCAGAGGGCCGAGTGACAGTCCAACGTGCCCAAGGAGGTTAGCGCGGCAGCAAGGCAAACTACCCCTCCTTGGCTGGGTTTTGTTCCTGGCCCCTTACCTGGGCACCAGTCCAGGCCCCGAGGCAGGGCCCCGTCCAGGGGAACAATGCCACCGTGTTCCTGCCGGTGGAGGGGAGGTCTAAGGATGAAGAGGGAAAGGGAAAGATGGGGTGGGGGAGGTGGCTTTTTCTCGGGGATAGACCCATAGCTGTGGAGTCTCCTAGAGGTCCCTGGTGGGTGGGGGAGGGTGCCGGGAAGCCTGGAAAGGGAAGGAGCCCAGAGTCAGGGGTCACCTGGCCTAGAGTCAGAAATTCTTTTCCACAACAGCAAGAGAGGGTTGAGTGAGATAAAAGGAAGGACTTCCCAGACTGGAGAAGGTACTGTGGAAGTGAAGATTCCCGTTGGGCAGGACCCCAGAGTACCCAGGCTCATGCCCATTCCGGATATGGAGAAAGTTGGGCCTGAGTTGGGGGACAGGAGAGAGAGCGTGGGGCGGGCCGCCTCGGGGGCACATGACGGCGGCGCCCGCCCCGCCCCGCGCCCGCCCCCTGCCCGGCCGTGGGGGGAGGAGACGCGGAGGTTTTAAAGGCGATCTGGGCCGGCCGGCGGGGTGGGGCGCGGCCGGCGTCGTCTCGCCCGCGCGCAGCCCGGCTCCCCTCCCCCGCGGGGAAGTGGGGTCCGACCCGGGAGAGACTCGCGGGGCGCGGGCGGCGACAACTTTCCCGCGCGGGCCGGGGACGAGAGAGGGGCCGCGACCGCCCGGCCCGGGAGGCAGGAGCTGGATCTCGCTGCGGGCGGGCGACAGCAGGTAGACTGGCGGGGGCTTGAAGGCCTGACCCCGGCGTGGAGCAGCCGAGGCCACAGCCCTTGGTCCTCCCGAGAGGCCCGGTGTCCTGTGCTGGCCCCAGACTGACCTCTAGATTTGCAGGCCACCGAACCCCTGAGCTGTGCGTGACCTTCCCGCCCGGCCAGGCCCCACTGGCCATCTGAGTGTCTAGGAAGTGCCCTGGCACCCTGTACCTGCCCCCTTCCCAGCCTCCAGCCGCTGCCCGCCTCTGGCAGGGTGGCCCGAGAAGGTAAGTGTAAGGACTGGAGGACCCTGGCACCGGGCTGTCCCCGCCAGCCCAGCCCGAAGCCGGCGCGACCCGACAGGTGCGCAGGCTTCCAGGCGAGGTGATGCGGGCTCGCCCGGGCCGCTCACCCACGCACTGTGCCTGGGCCAGCCTGGGCACATGTGTTCACACCACCACAGTGCCGGGAAGGGAGGAGCCCCGGCGCCGGTGCCCTGGGGAGCATCGCAGCTCTCTGTCTTTGTCGGTGGGGCCCCTGAGAGCATCCTTAAGACCCCCCTAATTGGTCAGGCCTTGCTTGAGGACCTAGTAGGGGGCCTTAAAATAGCTGTGGGCCCAGCCCAGGGCTGGCACGCGGCGCATATGCGTGACAGGGCGTGTCCAGGGGGTCGGGCCTGTCTGCGCTGGCCCGGCCTCTGGAGCCTGGCAGATTCTTGCTTGCTGGAGAGAGGCAGCCAAGGCGGATGCCCCACGAGGCACCCCCCATGCCATGGCCACCCTATGCCTGTTGCAAGTGGAGACCAGATGTTCTCAGCAGGCCCCAGCTAGCCTCCTCCTTCTACACTGCCCTGCAACAGGCCTGCGTGGGAACGGGAGGGTCCCATTGGAGTCCAGGCTGAGTCAGAACAGTATGTGCCCCAGGATGGCTTGGAACTCACTGCAATACTCCTGCCTCAGCTTCCTGAGTGGCAGCACCATGCCTATCCCGTTCCGACTGAGAGCAGCTTCTGTCTAGTTGTTTTGGTTTTTGTATTTGTTTTCTTGAGGTAAGAGTCCCAGGCTGGCTTCAAACTTCTGGTGCTCCTGTCTCCACTGCTGGAGTTGCTAGGATCACAGGCCCGCACCACTCCTGGCCTCCAGAGTGCTGGTGATTGAACCCAGGGTTCGTGCACGCCAGGCAAGCCCCCTATCTGAGCTACATCTCCATCCCTTTTTACCTGATGGAGACAGGGTTTCTTGTAGCCTGGGCTGGCCTCAAACAAAACGGACAATGGTCTTGAGCTCCCCATCTCCTGCCCGCATCTCTAAAGGATGATGGACGTGGACCGCCGACCCTAGCTTGGGCGTTCCTTATGGAGGGACCGTAGACAGTGCTGACTGTGACTGTCTCCACCTGTTTCCCATCTGTAAGTGGGAGTATTTGGAGAGGCAGTGTGACAGCGTGGACCTCTCCCCTCTAGTCTCCCTCTGGTCCTGAGTGGACGTGGAGGCGTGTCATGGGGAAGGGTTGAGGGTGGTGGTGTGGGCGTGAGAATTCTTGGGCAGGGAAGGACAGTGCCATGCCGGGCATGGTTGAGTCACACTCTAGCGGCGCCTTGCCTCGGGCTGCTGGAGCTGGCGCCACCCTGGGTGTGGCTACTGAGCTGTGGCCCTGGGCAGAACAGGGTTGGGTGGCCAGGATGGGCACTTGGGCCTTGAGGGGCTGGGGGAACAAATTTGGGATACTCCTTGGTGACTCCCTTTGGTCTCTAGAGTTGCCTTCCAGGACTGGGGGTCATCCAGCCACAAAATACGTTTTCAGGGCTCAGGAACCCTAAGCCTGGGGCCTGGGAATGGTAATTATTAATCCTATTTAACAAAACATTTTTGAGGCATGGCCCTATGTAGCCCCATGTTGGCCTGGAACTGAAGTAGCCCAGGCTGGCTTTGAACTCCTGGTCCTTCTGCCTTCACCTCCTGAGTGCTAGGATTTCCTGCAGAAGCTTTTATGCAGAATTTTTGCTTAGGATGGAACCCGCTGTGCCTCCTGCAAAGTGGCAACACTGTACCCCAGTCAGTTTTGGGGGTTGAGACAGTCTTGAACACATGGCAATCCTCCTGCTTCAGCCTCCTGGATGGTAGAACCACAGCCATGCCTCACAGTACCTGGGCTGGTTCCTGGAAGTTTTGGAGTGTTAAGGGAGTGAGCCAGGATCTTTCAGACTAGTGATGGAGGGCCCTCTCCCATCTCCTGTCCCAGGCCAGGGCCTGGGATGAACTTCACCCAAGCGACTCTGATTGGCTTGAGGGAAATTGAAGAGTTGGGGATGTGACTCAGTGGTAGAGCACTAGTCTGGCGTATGCCAGGCGCTGGGTCTGTCTTCAGCACCGCAAAAGGAATTTTAAGAAATGGAGTAGGGGATTTGGTTGGTCTGTGTGGCTGGCAGGCAGCGAGGGTGGGACGTGGCTGTCGTCTTTCCCTATTTATACCAAGTGATTCAGCCCTCCCTCACCCCTTCCTGCACCCCCTCTACTCCCGGGTAGGCACCGGGCCCACCCACTTGCTCATGCCCTGCCCCCCAACCCTAGTTGGTTGTCTGTCCCTGCGCGGGGACGGGCGTGGAGGGCAGGCATCTGCGCCGCAGGTCGGGTTGGCCCCGGCCCAGCCGCCAAGCTCCTGGGAAGAGTCTGGGCCATTAGCGAGCGCTGGTGACCGGGGCGGGGGCGGGGCGGGGCGGGGCGGGGCCAGCAGCCCTCGGTATTTTCCGATCCTCGCTCTGCTCTGCGAGGGTGGAAAGTATTTGAGGATCAAGCTTTGGGACGGCCGCAGGGCCTCTGCCCTGGTTCCTTCTTGGGGTCCACAATGGGTCCTCCAGAGTTGCCGGGGGTCTGTAGGTTATGGGAACAGACCGACTGGGGTGCCACTGTCCAAGACCTGCCCTGTTCCCCAAGTCCCCCAGCGCCAGGACCTCTGTCCCTTTGGGTCCCGCCTCCTATGAGACAGAGAGGCACAGTTTTTGGTACAGGATGTCCCAACTCCTGGACACCTGCGTGGTAATGCCCCTCCACGCCAGACACAGACCTCTGGTGTGTGAGGATGGGAGTGGCCTTGGCCGCAGCTTTGGCCTCTTTGTAGGGGAAACCCCACAGGAAACCAGCCTGGCCAAATGGCCGCCCTTCCCGTTCTAGTCCCAGGGACGAATATGCTGTCTCACTTCCGGAGGTGACTGGGGAGGCTGGCCAGCCTGAGGCCCTGGGCTGCCCCCAGACCCCAAAGGAACAGAGCTGGACTGGGGCGTGGTGGGAAGGAGGTAGCCAGCATGTGCGTGTGTGTGTGTGGGGGGGGGTCAGGGAGACACAGCAGGATGTCTCTCAACCCCTATTCCTCAGAGAGAGGTAATGCCAGATCCAGCCATTAGGAGCTAGATTGTCTTGCCTGTCATTGATGATAGGACAGAATCCTTCTGTCCTGATGTCCCATGTCACCAAGGACTCTCCCAGTTGTGTACGAAGTAGAGATTTTCTTTTTTAAGATTCATTTTACTTTTATTTTTGGGTATGTGTTGGGTATGTGCATGTATGTGTAGGTGCTAACAGAGGCCAGAAGAGGGGGCCAATCCGCTGGAGCTGGGTTCTCAGCACTATGCAGTCTAAACCCTGAGCCATCCTCCCAGCCCTAAGATTTCGTTCTGAGAGTTTCACCTATCCCAGGCTGGTCTTCAGCTTGCCCTGTAGCCAAGAATGACTTCGAATTTCTGATGTCTGCACCTCCTGAATGCTGAGATAACATGCTTGTACCATCACACATCATGATATGGTCCTGGGGATGGAGCCAAGCCTGGTGTGCCGGCCAGCAAGGGGCCACTGAGGATGGAGCCAGGCCTGGTGTGCCTGGCCAGCAAGGGGCCGCTGGGCCTCACTCTCAGTTGCTTTTTTTCCCCCTAATTTGAAATAATTTAGCTGGGTGGTATGGCACACACCTTTAATCCCAGCACTTGGGAGGCAGAGGCAGGTGGATCTCTGTGAGTTCAAGCCTAGCCTGGTCAATGGAGCCAGTCCCAGGACTACCAGGGCTGTTACATAGAGAAACTCTGACTCAGTGTTTTGTCTGCATGCATATCTGGTACCTGCACAGTCCAGAAGAAGGGGTCAAACTCCCAGGACCCGGAGTGCAGACAGTTGGCAGACACTACGTGGGATGTGGGTGCTGGGAATCGAACTTGGAACCCCTGGAAGAGTAGCCAGTGTTTTTAACCACCACTGAGTCGTTTCTTTAGCTCCATTTTTTATTTTGAAACAGGGTCACATTTGATAGCCCAGGCTGGTCTCTAGGTTGAGATCCCCCACCATCCCTCCTGGATTCAGCAATTACAAGTCCATGCCATCATTCCAAGATCTGAGATAATTTATTATTGCTATTTTGCAGATGAAGAGATTTGTCCCAGAGAAACTGTGTTCTTTGACCATGTCGACAGCTCACTTGCAGGCAGACAAGCTCCAGAACTGAGTTCACATAGCCAAAGGCCACCCCCCCCTCCTTTTTCTTTACCCTTTTGAGGGGGTCACACTATGTAGACCAGGCTGGCCTCAAACTCACAGAGATCTGCTTCTGCCTCCCGAGTGCTGCAATCAGTGTGCGCCGCTGTAAGGCTTTTATAAGACCTGGTCCTGGTGTGGCATGGGCTGTCTGAAAATCTTACCCTCCTCCCCATGAGGAGAGAGAGTGTGTGTGCGTGTGTATATACGGAGAACAACCTCAAGTGCAGTTTCTCTGGAATGTGTGTGTCTGGTGTCCTAGGTCAAAGATACTGGCTCTCCTGGAGCTGGAGTTACACATGGTTGTGAGGCTACGTGTGGATGCTAGGAACTGAGTCTTTTAAGAGCAAGTGCTGCTAGGCATGGTGGTGGCACACGCCTGTAATTCCAGCACTTGGGAGACAGAGGCAGGGGGATCTCTGTGAGTTTGAGGCCAGCCAGGGCTACACAGAGAAACCCTGTGTGTATGTGGGGGCGAGGGGGTGCGTGGCAACAGGTACTCTTAACCGCTCGCCATCTCCCAGCTCCTTACTGTGGTTTCTCAGACGGTATCTCTGGGACCGGACCGGGACAAGTAGCTGTGGAATAGCGGTTGTGAGCCCTAGGGGCCCCCAGCACTGGGGTTACTAGTGTGAGCTTTCATGCCTTGGATCATGCAGGGCCTTGTGCTTGCATGTCAACCACTTTATTGACTGAGCGATCACCTCAGACCCTGAAGTCTTTTCACGATTGTGTGTGTGTGTGTTGTCTGGTCTCTGTGTGGGTTTCTGTATGCTGGCACAGTGCCCTTAGAGACTAGAAAGGGGAGCGAAGTCTCCTGAAGCTGGAGTTACAAGCAGTTGTGAGCTACCTGATGTGGGTGCTGGGAATCAAACTTAGGCCCTCTGCAAGAGCAGCACCTGCTCTTAACCACTGAGTCAGCTCTCCATGCTTTATCCGAGACACGGTCTCACCATGCAGCTCTGGCTGATCTGAAACTCCCTACATAGTCCAGCCTGGCCTTGGATTCACAGAGATCCGATGGCCTTTGCCTTGCAAGTGCTGGGACTAACGGTGTGCACCACCATTCCTGACAGTTTATTTTTATTGTATGAGTGCTCGCCTACATGTATGTTTGTGTACTGTATGTGTGCCTGGTACCCATAGAGGACAGAAGAGAACATCAGAGGTCTTGGAACTGGAGTTATGGATAGCTGTGATTGTCTTGTGGGTTCTGGGAAGGCAACATAGGTCCTTTGCTAGAATAGTAACTGCTCTCAATTCCTGAACCATCTAACTCTGAATTCAAAACCTTTTTAAAATGTTTACGTATGTACTTAAGTGTGTGTGTGGCCACAAGTGTAGAGGTCAGAGGATGACTTGCAGGGGTGTTTTTCTACTGTGTGGTTCTCGGGTCTGAGCTCGGCACTGATGGCGAGTGTGTTTACTTGCTGGACCATCTTGCTGGCTCCTGAAGATTTTAATTGCCATGCAGGAAGCTAGTCTACATTGGGTAGCTCCTAGATTCTGAGGCTTGCCCTGGTGCTGAGTGCCAAATAGCTTCTTCTTAGTAAATTTACCCTGGCCTGCCTGGTAGAGGGTCTTGCTTTTGTGTATGTGTGTGTTTTGATTTGTTCTTGGCAACCTTCCTTCCTCAGTCTCCTCAATGCAGAGATGAACTTGAGCCACCAACTGCAAGTGTTCTTGGTCTACTTTACAGATGGGAAAATTGAGGCTTGGAAGGCCTCTGGGAAACTCCAGGAGCAGGGAGTTAAACTCTGCTGAGGTATTGGGATGGAGAGGCCTGCTTCTCCCAGCTTGGGTGCTGGGGTGGGGTGTGACTGAGCTGCCTGGGGAGGCACAGGCAGGAGGTGCTGGAGTTCCCTCTGCCCTTCAGGCTTCTAGGAAGTGGCGCCAGCTGGGGTGAGGTCACTTCCTCCCCTCAACCGCCCACCTCCCTCAGCTTCCTCTCTCCCCGGCCCCATCTGGCCTGCTTTGGGCTCAGGGCTGTGAGTGGGGAGAGAAAGAAACGGTGGAAACAAGCCAAGAAGGCTTTGCATCCTCTTTGGCCTGTTAGGCTTTCTGGGCGCCTCCGACTTGTAGGGCTGGGGCTGGAGGCTCTCCTGTGCGCCCAGCATCCTGTGGGCTCACTCCATTCTCCCTGCTGATGCTCCTATGGGGAGGCTCCTTCCCTCCTGGAAGCAGATGGAGGACTGGGGTGTAGTTCAGCAAGCAGAGCTTAGGTTCTGTCCCTAGCACCATGTAAACCGGGTGTGGTGAGGTGAGCCTGGAATCCTAGACTCCAGAGGTAGAGACAGGAGAATCACCAGCCCAGAAGCTGCCTCAGTAGTGAAGTGGATAACAAAAGACAGGCCGGCAGGTGGGAGTGTTCCCAGTCTCATTCTCTCTCTTCTTTCTCCCCTTAGGTTGCTCCACTCCGATCTCACCTGCTGTCCCCTCATGTGCCTCGGCCGGCTGGGGTTCCTGGGGATGGGATTTGATGCCAGTCACAAATCACATTGCCAGGGATTTCCAACTGACCCTGTGCTCTGCCTTGGGGACTCCTGTTGCTAAGGATGCCTGTCCTGGGTACCGGGTGATGGAGGAGCCCAGCATGACAACTGGCCTGAGGAGCAGGGCTTAGCTGCTTGTGAGCAAGGTCCACAGCAAGTCGTGTTCACAGTGGCTAAGTTCCGCCCCACCGGGCCCCATCTCCTCAGACGCTGCTGCCCACCCTGCTCTGCCTCCTCCTCCCTGGGCTCTGCCTCCTGTGCCTACTGAGCTGAAACAGTTGGTTCCAATGCACTGGCTCAGTTCAGCAGGAACAGGAGTCCAGCCCCCTAGGAGCTGGCACCCTACAAAATGTCTGCCATGACCCAAGACCTGGATGGAGCAGGGGTGACCAGCTGTGCCTGGGCCCAGTTCTCTGCTGCAGGCCCTTCCTCTAAGCCTGCATCTGGGTAGCCCACCCCACATGGCCACACCTTGAGATTTTTGTAGTTCCCACAAGAACAGGTGGATGAGTGCGTGGCAAGTCAGTTGTGTCCCCTCAGGGCCTCCAGCCCCTTCCTCTCCCAAACCCAGTGGGGCCCAAGCACCACCCTTTCTTTGCACACCTTCTCTGTAGTCAGTTACCCAAGAGGAAGCTGCTTCAGGCCTGCTGACTGTTAAATGCCAACTCTCAACTTCCGCAACAAGGCACTGGCCCTATCCAGCGTGCCCAGCACCCCATGAAGCCTGCAGCACTGGTGACAGTGACGCAGGGAGCAAAGTCCACACGGCCCTCCAAGGACATGGACAGACTTCCCTCTCCCCTGGGTATTGCACTTCCCAGATCACCAGTCAGCGGGGGTGTGGGTGGAGGGTGAATGGAAGCTCAGGTGGAATAACAGAGAGGTGAAGCTTGTATTTGATGTTGTGCCTGTTTTCTATTAAATAAAAACTGCCCTGCTTCATTCTTTAAGGTCTGATGTCTCTTTATTCCTGCCTCCCACTATGGACTGCTGGCTTTTCCCCCCTCCTATTCTGAGACAGCGTCTTTGTGTGTGGACCAGGCTGACCCGAGTCAGTCCTTCCTCAGTGTCTGGAGTTTGGGGATCCTAGGTGCACCCCTATGTCCCTAGGTGCCCCACGTCTATGCCCCACCCTGGCTCCTGACCTCATCTGTCCCCAACCCTGTTCCACCTGCTCCCAGGAAGGTGTAAGTTTGTTTCTGTGGTCAGAGGGTGCCCTGAAGATTGAAGATCCTGGGCAGGTGACATTTGGGGACGGCTTGAACTGGAGGGATAATTCAGGCCTGGGGTGTATGAGAGAATGAATGTGGAAAGGAACTTTGGTTTGCGGTGTGATACGAAGTCATTAGGTGTAGCAGAGCAACATTAGCGGCTGGCAAACCTGTGCTACACTCCAGTTCCGGGAGGGAGTCAAGGAGTTATCTGCAGACGCCAGGAAGCACTGCTCAGCACGGTGCCAGCGATTCAGGCACCTTGAATACTGAGGGACCTGCTAGGTGGGGTTGACTCCGACTGGCTCTTGAGCAAGGCTCACCAGGAGCCTAGTCAGGGTCAGAGCTCCAGTAGTGTCCGACCTCGCGCGCTGCTACAACAGCGCCCCACAGCGGCCAGCGCGCCACCCCCTAAGTATCCCCGACTGTGAACGAGTTTGTCAGTGGCTAAAGAATACAAAGACCCAAGAATGAGAAGAAAACCAAGACAACGTCCCCGGGATGACTCCATCTGAGACCTGGGAGGCTCATTCGCAGCCCAGGCGTTCAATGGGCACCCCGCTGCGGGCCCAGGAGTAGCCCGCCCGTCAGCTCCAGGCGTCCCCAGCAGCACTCGGTACCTGACGCGACTTCCCGAGCTCGTTATCTGGAGCCAGGCGCCCCCTGGTGGTCATTTCTTGCGGCGTCCGGACCGCCAAACTTTGCTAGAGGCATTGTAAGCGTCTGACTCAGAGGTTGTGACTTGCTGCCAGGGAGAGATTGCTCTTTGTGTCAACACATGCTACTGGAGAAAGCCAGCCCTCCTGTCCTACTCTTGAAGCTGTGCCCAAAAGCCAAAATGGAATTTTTTGTTGTTGTTGTTAATGGAACAGCCCTGGCCCTGGGTATGTGTGGGGCAATGTAACTCAATCTCAAAGTTAAAAAGAAGTTGTGCTCAATTTTTTTTTTAAAAAAAGGAAAGGAATACAGTACAGGATTCAATAAATAGGAAAAAAAGTTACAAAACGATGCCAACTTTTTCCTTAATATACAAGAAAGAAGACTGGTTCATTTGGGGTGGAGGCAATCCCCTCCTTAGGCTAAGGCCTGGGGTAAAGGGATGCCCCTATCAGCAGCCGGGACTCAAGAGGGAGAGAGATGCAGAAATGGCTAAACTAAAGGAACTGAGGAAACAGAGACGGCCATGTAGAGCGAAAGGAAGACAGGGTGGGATCCCTGGCTGTCTGTCTATGCCTCCCACACAGGTTGGAGGGCAGCCTGGTTCCTGAGTTGTGTATCCAGTTACTAGTGGTGGGGTCCGGGCAGCAGAGAGCTGTCCCCAGCCTACCCTGTGACCTTGGTGCCCAAGACAAGACAGGTCCTGGCTGGACAGGGTGTTTGGGGGTGAGGTATGTGGCAGAGGCCCAAAGCCTCTTGATTCCTTCAGTGGGGATGAGGCATTGACTTGTGCTGGCGGCTTGGGCTGGAAGCGCAGGGCAGTGGACAGGACCCCTGAGCTGTAGGAGAGGGGATGAAACATGGGATTTAATACCTGATGTGACGTCCCCAGGCACCTGGGTGGGCTCTGGAGGATCTGCTATACTGAATTTAAGAACTAATTTCTGGAAAGTTCTGCCTCCAGCCCTTCTCCTGGTAGCCCCGACTAACCCTGTGAGTTTGGGAGAGCCAGAGCTTGCCTCTTGACTGTGGGGTGCCCAGGCACACCCCTGCAGGCCTCTAGTTAGCAGTATGGCTTCAGACCCTCAGATCTCCCATTGGTCTGCACACTCCTAGGCACACACTTGGAATGGTGTCACCACCTGCCTCCCACATTCCAACACTTGATCCTGAAGTAGCCATGAGCCTCCTGCTTCAGGAAGGCAAGCCAGGGGATACCCATGCTAGCTGCAGCCCCTCAGCCAAACCGCTCCCGAACCAACAGCATTAGCTTCTTCTTCCCCTTGTAGGTCTGCTTAAGGCTCTCTAAGAACTGCGCAAACTGGAGGTGCCCGTCTGGAGCCAGAAGGAAGGTCTCTCGGGCTTTGCCCAGAAACTCAATGAAGTCACCATAGTGACGTGGACTGATGTGGGTGAGGCGTGAGTGGCTGGTGGTGATGTAGGCAGCTACTGCAGCATCCAGGAGCTGGCAGAGTGGTGCCCTGTCAGTCCCTAGTGGCTTGGTAGCCCTGCGGGCCCCCAGTGGGCCCAGACCGGGTGCTGAGAGTGTCCAGCGGCGCAGGATGTCTGAGAGCATAGGTGCGCAGTGGATGCTGCGGATGATGAGAGGGACAATGGCTGACAACTCGTGCCGCCCCAACGAGTGGCTGAGCGAGCAGGCCCACAGCACATCGTTGACCGCAGGGTGGCTGTCTTGGTTGAAGGCAATGCTGAGTTGTGCCAAGGCTAGTGTGGCCAGCTTGTAGGCCCGCAAAGGTAGGCCTCGATGCTCCATGTATCGTGCTACCGTGAAGAGATGGGCATGGCCGAGGCCACCGGCTGCGGCATCCAGCACGATCTGGTAGGCGGCCTCGAAGGCTGCATGATTCTTTTCACACAGGGTCAGGGCTGGCAAGGCGCAGTTCTGGGGGTCCTTCATGGCGCACTGCAATGCCAAGGTGCGGGCACATGCCCAGAGCTCCTCTCGCCCAGCTGTGTCTAGCTGCAGTCGCAACAAAGTGGCATGCGTGGTGCCTGTCACTGCCACAATAGTGACTGCCTCCACTGGGGTGAACAAGGAGTACCAGTTCTTCATGATGCTCATCAGCGCTGGGGGGCCTGGGCGTGGGGAGAGGGAATGGGGCAGGATGTGTGTGTCTGTGTGTAAGACTCTGCCATCTCCTCTCCCACCCTGCAACCACCAGCTCTAAATCTTCCCAGCTTCACCATGCTAAAACTTTGTGTGTGGGGGGGTCTCACTATACAGCCCCAATTGGCCTTAAACCCAGAGATCCACCTGCCAGTGCCTCCTAAGCGCTGGGATAACAGATATGGGCCATCACACCTAACTGTTCTCATGGGACAGGAGAGATGCTCAGTACTGAAGAGCACTGGCTGCCCTTCCAGAACCTGGATTTGATCCTAGCTCATAACCATTGGAGATGCCAAGGAATACTCTGGCCTTCAAAGATACCAGATACACATGTGGCACACAGATACACACACAGGCAAAACACTCATACACATAAAATTAATTAATTAATTAAAAAACAAACAAGGTCCTACAGTCCAGGCTTACTTCAAACTTGCTATGTAGCTAAGGGTCAACTTCTGGTCCTCCTGCCTCCACCTCCCACATGCTGGGATTAGACATGCACCGCCATGTCCGGAGAACACAGGGCCTAGTACATGCAAGGCCTGCACTCTATCAAATAAGCTGCAACCCTTTTCTGCTGGTGCCATGGAGCTGCAGCCAAGAACCCTGTCCCTGCCATGTGATCACCCTGTTGAGCCACACTTCTAACCCATGGAGTCTTGAGATGGGGTCGCATTATGAGCCCAGGTTGTCTACAATATGGGGACTCCTGATTCAACCTCCTCAGTGCTCCAGGTGAACCACTATGTCTGCAGAGAAAAATTTCCCAAAACCATGGAGGTGGCTAGCATCTGGAGCTTCCTCCCCACTCCTAACCACTTCAGTCTGGCCAACCACCATTCTGTGTACCTCCATTATCCCATGTGATGCTCCCTCCCAGGCTGGCCTAGAGCTGGCAATGGGGAAGGACCTGCCTTTTTGTTTTGTTTTATTTGCTTTAAGGCAGAGTTTTACAATGAAGCCTTAGCTGTCCTAAAAACACCCTATGTAGCCCAGGCTAGCCTCGAATTCATAGATCTGCCTGCTTCTTCCCCTGAGTGCTTGGGTAAAGGGCTGCACAGTGTTCCAGTCAGGGCCAGTTTTTCTGGGGCCTGTCTGGTTCCTCAGTGGCCCCTCCAGGTACTCACCAATCTCTGTGGCACAGCTAACTAGCCAGCGCACCATCTCTCTGCGCCGCCAAGTCATTGTATTCAGTGTCATCCGCATCACCTGCAGGGAAAGAGGAGGGTGGGTCCTCAGAGCCCTGCTGTGTCGGATGGCTTAGGCCAAGGAGGCTGGAGGCAGAGCTACTGCAGCAGACCCTCATCTCTCTGGCCTCAGTTTCTGGCTCTATAGAAGAGGGATAAAGGAGAGATCAGATCGCCCAGTGGTTAAGAGCACTGACTATTCTTCCAGAGGACCTGGAACCCTTCCAGCAACCACATGGTGGTTCACAACTGTCTGTAACTCCAGTTCCAGGGGATCTGGCTTCCTCACACAGACATACATGCAGGCAAAACACCAATGAACATAAAATAAAGATAAATTTAAAAAATGGAGATAAAAATATAGACTAGGAGGGGCTGGGAGAGGTGCTCAGTGGTAAAGAACACTTGCTGCTCTTGCAAAGGGCGGGAGTTTGGTTTCCAGAACCCGTAGCAGGTGGCTTACAACCACTTTTACCCCCAGCTCCAGGGGATCTGATGCCTCTAAGGGCACCAACACATATATACACATATCCACATACAGCACACTCTCTGTGCACATGTATGCACACATAACTCACACATAATTAAAAATAAAATCTTTCTTAAAAATGAACCTGGCGGGCTGGAGAGATGGCTCAGCGGTTAAGAGCATTGCCTGCTCTTCCAAAGGTCCTGAGTTCAATTCCCAGCAACCACATGGTGGCTCACAACCATCTGTAATGAGGTCTGGTGCCCTCTTCTGGCCTGTAG